CGGAGGGTGTGTCCAATCAGCAAAGTTCACAATGGCGTCGCTGTCTGCAGTGCCGAGGTCGGGAGCGAAGTCGAGGACGAAAACGTTGTTCTTCAGCACTGCTTTCCCGATGTAGAGACCGCCTCTCCCGTGGTAAAGCTTGAACTCCTGGGTCGTGCTGTCGGCTTCCAGATGAATTCCTTTCGCCATCAACTGGCTAACGCTTAGTAAGTTGTAGCCGAGTCCTTCAGCGATGAGTACCTTAGACATGTGCAGTATGACATTTGTTTCTCTTGACTGAAGCTGTACCACTCCTTGTCTTCGTGTGCGCAGGTTTTGGTTGTTGGCAACCGTGATGATCACTTCCCGTTGGAGTCGATGTTCGCGTTGTACGAAACGCCCGGACGAGCACATGTGTTGCCCGCAGCAACTGTCCAAGAACCAGGTGTCTTGGCCGGACGGTTCACTTTGAGCGATAGCGGCGTAAGTCGGATTTGGATGGAGTGATTCGCGACGAGGCGTCCTGTTGTCGAGCTCCTCTTCCGGTGAGTAATGGGGTGGTGACTCTGTTGTGCAAGAGTCGTTTATCTTGACCATGCAGTTGACTATATGTCTTGCTCCTTGTGCAGGTTGTCCAGTTGAGGTCGTTGAAGCTTGAATCGTGGTTGTCGAGCTTGCTTGAGTCGAAGCAACTTGGATGCTTGAAGGCCGCAGTTGTCGCTGTGGTGTTGTCTGTCGAGACGGGCAGTGCGTGCGTGGGTGTCCTGATGTCTTGCAGATGTGACAAAATGGAGGTACTAGCTTCGGCTGCTGCTGTCGATTGTTGTAGTAGTTGTGTCGTCGCTGAGTATGGAAAGCAAACTCTGGTGCTAATGTCCTTTTCTTGTGTCTTTCTTCTTGCAGGTCCATATCCTGCTGCTCGGCGTGAATTTCTGCGCAAAGTGCCGCTTCGGAGATCCTCCCGTGTGCTCGAAGAATTGCTTTGGTGGCGCGCCACTGAGGACCGAGGCCGCCGATGACGACTGTTACGAAGGCGTCTTCAGAGATTGACCCTCCACATCGAAGAAGCTTGTCGCGCAATTCGCGACATCGGCTGATATACGCCAACCCTTTTTCTCCTGGTTTCATTTCAACTGTTGTCAGCTGCGCCATTAACCTGCTCTGGTTTACACTGTCTGTTGCCTGGTACAGGTTCTTCAGATGGCCGTACGCGAGTTCCGCCGAGTTGCCGAAGTTCCGGTAAGAGCGAATGTTCTGCTGCTGGGTTGGTGTGATGTTTCTCAGTAGAATAGTATACGCCATCATGGATTGATATGTATACTGCTGCTTTTCATACTGTGTCCCGTTTGCTGGATACTGCAGGGATCCGTCGAAGAAGCCGAGTATCTGCGCGCCCTCCATCATCAACTCGAATTCAAAGGACCAGGTAAAGAAGTCCTTTCCGTCGAAAGGTCTTGACGTTTGTAGTTTCAGAACATGCGCGAACTGCGACTGTACTTGTAAGGCATCCATTGGTTTGTCTTGCGCAGGTGGAGGTTGAGGCAGGAAGCTGATCGACCCACGTTCGTACGGGGCGAAGGTGGGTTGCTGCTGTTGATTCCCTCGCGCGTATGACGACCCGTCAAGGCTCATGGGTGTCGCTCCGTTGTTGCTGTTGTGTGTCTGTGCAGGTCCCGACTGCTGGTGTTGCTCGTAGAAGGACATGAAGGAGAAAAATTTCTCCATCATGCTCTGGTCGAAGTCAGAAGGATGGTTCGTGGGGGTCTCGGTTGACGTTCCCCTTGGTCTTGTTGCCGTGCCTTCCTCTGTCTGCAGGCCAGAGGCTGGCGGTGGAGTAGGAGTAGTGCCCGAGGAGCCATTAGGGGAGCTCCTTTCCTTGTTTGTTGCCATGTCTTGTAATGATCAAAAAGTTAAGAGTTTTCCCCTGTCAGCTCTCATACCATGTTGGGCTGAAAAATAGCCCTTAGGATCTTTGCAGAGGAGAACTCTTGGGTAGAAACTTGTAATAGCGGAAGCGTTTTAATGAGGATTGTGAACCGACCTTGCACTGGTGTGTGAGAGCAAAGTAGATTAAATTAAACAAGCAAATACAAGGATTTATATAAGAGTACGGGGAATACGAATAGATAGATAGATAACTGTATTGCTGTTGCGGTTCGATATAGTGCGACTCGGGCAACTGCTCTGTAATGAGTCAGTTGTGTGTCCTTAACTGTCGCGCTGTAATTGTCGAGTCAAAGGTCAGCGACCTTTGACTTTCTCGTAACCTCCAGGCGGTTACCCTAACCTTCGAGGTTGACTCGATGCTTCGATTGGGACTGCTTCGCTTGGTGCCTTGGATTTTGATACGACAGAAGCGCACTTAGGACTTATTGTTTCCAACACAATGCCCTTTCTTGTCCCGGTGCAGACTGCGGTTGCGGCATGAAGCTGACGGAGCCACGCTGGGGCTCGTACGGCGCAAAGGTAGGCTGTTGTTGTTGTTGTTGAATTCCGCGTGCGTAGGATGAGCCGTCGAGACTCATAGGAGTTACGTTGTTGTTGTTGCTGTTGTTTGACTGCGCAGGTACTCCTTGCTGGTGCTGCTCGTAGAAGGACATGAAGGAGAAGAATTTCTCCATCATGCTTGGATCGAAGCCTGCGGGCGTTTCCGTAGACCCAGCTGCTGGTCTCGTGGTAGTCCCTTCTTCCGTCTGTAGACCAGAGACAGGAGGTGGAGTAGGGGTAGTGCCTGGAGAACCGTTGGAGGAGCTCCTCTCCTTCCTAGTAGACATGTCTTCCTTGTATTAAGTATTAAGAAAAAAAGTAACTTTGAACTCTGTCTGCTCTCATACCATGTTGGGCTGAGATGCCATAGGATCTTTGTAGAGTTAAAGTCTAAGTAGGATTGTAATAGTGGAAGCGTTTGAATGAAAAAGTCTTTGAACCACCTTGCGCTAGTATGTGAGGGCAAAGTAAGTTGATTAAAACAAGCAAATACAAGGCTTTATATAAGAGTACAAGGAATACGAATAGATATAATTAAATTGTTTTGCTATTGCGATTCAATACAGTGCGACTCGGGCAACTGCTCAATGTCGAGTCAGTTGTGTGTCCTTGCTGTCGCGCTGTATTTGTCAAGTCAAAGGTCGCTGACTTTTGACCTTCGCGTAACCTCCAGGCGGTTACCCTAACCTCCGAGGGTTGACTCGCGATGCTTCGATTTGGACTGCTTCGCTTGTGTCCTGAGTTTTGACACGACAGAGGCGCTTTAAGACTTATTGTTCCCAACAAATTTTAGGTCAGCCTTTTTTTTTTTTTTTTTTTTTGGACAAGGTTCATGGATCAGTCAATTGAAGGTATATTTATCATGTGTCGGTCGTGGATCAACTATAGTGAGAGAAATCATGTAATGGTGTAGATTAGCATGAGTTGTATTGAAATCATAAGGTGGGTGGTTTCGCAGCATTGGAGTGCTTGGTGATGACATGTTAGATGGGCACACAACAGAATACTTAAACATTTAGATTACGTAGGAGGTTAGAGTTTGATTGCTGTATTCGAAATCAAGACCTGCCAATACAGCATTTTTTGGTGAAGTTGAGATGTGAAGATGTTGGGAACGAGGTTCGACTGCCTCGGTTGGAGGAGACGTGAGCCAGCCGAAGCTTGTTGGCCCAACTACAGTGATAAATGAAGGTCAGCTGTACTTCTGTCGAAAGCATAAAGATCTGACAAATTGCTGTTCCATCGTGATTGTGCTTTTGGGTGCCTGAAGCTGCCCGTGGTAGAATTGGATTGATGAGGAGTGGATTGAAAAAACGTGCATTTCGGGTTTGGTGGGCACACATGCAAATTCATCTGCGCCGTGGAACGTTTACTGCTTCAGAGCCTTATTGTTGCGTCAACGAGTTCCGCGATTTCACTCCCAGGTTATGTTACCCTTCGTCCAGGTGATCTGCACATCGAGACGGTTGATGCAGGTGCTGTTCACGGAGTTGCTGCCCATCCACCTGAATGCAAACGACCCCCATGACATTAACAAACCACCTGAAGCGCACAATTGATACGACGACCCCCCCAAAACGACAAGCCAAGACCAACACAACCCCTCCATGTCCCCACACCACAGCTGTTACTCCCGATAACTCCAACCCTAGTCCCTAACCCATCATCGTCCCCCTTCTCCCTTTCTCAGCTTTCTTGCCCAACTCCTTGAGGATCAGCCATAGCTTGTGTGGATAGCTGTCCATAGACTCTGAGACATCCCCTTCTGACAGTGGCCTCGATTCCCCTTGGACGCACTGACGCATTGGAACTCGAGGTAGAGATTAGAGATGGGTAGGTCAGTCATAGCCTATGTGTTATTGGCACTCCTAGTTCCATACGTCATCGCTATTCCCACGGTGACTGTAGGCGACACCAATACAGTTGGCGGTACTAATACCGTGGGCGGTACGAATTCCGTCGGCGGCACCAACACTGTCGGCGGCACCAACACCGGTGGCAGTACCACCAGCGGCGGTAGTACCACCAGCGGCGGCAACACGAATACCGTCGGCGGCACCAACACCGTCGGCGGCACCAATACCGTCGGCGGCACGAACACCGTTGGCGGTACGGACACCGTTGGCGGTACGGACACCGTTGGCGGCACTAACAGCGGCGGTAACACGAACAGCGGCGGCAACACGAACAGCGGCGGAAACACAAACAGCGGCGATAGCAGCAGCTCTGGCGGAAGCACGACCAGCGGCGGTAGCAGCAGCACCGGCGGAAGCACGACTAGCTCCGGTGGCACGGGACTGAAGGTCAACTCCACCCTGATTTACCCTGGACAGGAGGGTTCGAACTACGGTAACTGCCCGGCGTTCACGTGTACACCCGGCTCCCACTTTAACGGAACCTTCACGGACTCCGATAGCGAGGATATTTCGTACGAGTGGCTGTTCTCCAAGCCGTTGATGAAGAATGATCCCGAGTCGCCTGAGTGGGATGTCGAACTCGAGACGCCATACTTCGATTGCTGGAAGATTTGCAAGATGGCAAAGGCCGATCACCCGCAAATCAAGTATTGGCAGTACGAGAAGACATGCGACGTTGGAGGTAAGAACCGCCGTTGTTTTCTGTCTCTCTTGGTGGTTGAACTCATCCTTTCTTTAACAGCTTTGTGTATTTTTGGCACTTCCATCTCATTGTATTTTGTCTTTTGTTGTCTCTCGCTCTTTCTTCTTCAGGTGTGTGCTCCTGCTACGACGAGGGCGTTTGCACGCAGAACCACTACAATCCCGACAATACAATGAACTTCTTCTTCGATTCCACCAACGATTACCAGCCTCCTTCCGAGTTCTTCGTCGGCAAGGTCTGCGACGGTAATGTTACCGGCGATCCCCATTTCGTTGGTGCCGACAAGTCGCGGTTTGACTTCAGCGGCCAGCCCGGCGAGAACTTCGCCCTGATATCGGATGCGCATATTGCCGTTAACGCGTATTTCGGCGGGCGCGTGGAGAAAGAGTGGATGGGCCAGAAGAACAAGGTGATGACGTGGATGCGTAACATCGCGGTGCTCTGGGGCCACCACTCCGTCGTTTTCGAGGCTAGGCCCGGAGCTGATTCTGAGTACGGTGCGGGTTACCTCAAGGCGATCTACGTCGATGGCGAGAAAACGAGCTTGTCGTTCCCTGGCGAAAAGATGTACCTGTTCGACGGTTCGGTTGAGCTCAAGTGGGTGGATGCGAGGAAGAAGGTTGGCGACGATCTGGTCGACATTTACGAAATTTCGGTTGCCGAAATCATCACCCTGCGACTGATTTTGAGGCCTGAGATCAAGCTGATGAGGACCAAGGACGACGGGCTTGTTCACTTCACCATCGAGGTCGTCAGCGCGCAGCTCTCCGCGAACGTGCACGGAGTTCTTGGGCAAACCTACCGCCCCGATTTCGCCGGCCGACTGTAAGTTTCCGAACCATCCTCGTGTTCGGTTTTAACACTGCATTCAATATCCTCCTTCGTGCCGAGGTTCCATCGCCTGACTGAATTTATGTTTGTGTTTGCAGTGAGAAGCAGACTCTTGTCTGGAGCAAGCTTCTTAAGGCGTACGTGGTTCCGGGTGACAACGCTGAGGGTTTCATTGATGGCACGTGGGAGGATTACAAGACGTCGGAGCTCATGCGGTCCGACTGCAACTACTGCCGCTTCGTACGCGGTACAGCGATGGACGACGAAACCGCTAGCGCCGTCGCCATGGCGACATCCGTCAGCTCATCGTACAGCGCTCTCGGCAGGAAGGGCATGATTGACGCCCTGTAAACTGGCGAAGGCGTTTTCCTTGTATTTTATAATCTGTTCCATTGTAACACTTAAAACGGCCAGGCACAAAACGGACGGCCTCGCATCGGGTTGCTCAGTGGCCTTGGAGCATTTTGTGTTTCTTTAGCCAAATATATTTCATTCTATTTGTGTTAAGACCTTGAATAACATTCAAGCTCAGCTGAGAGTGCCCGACTTCAAATTTGTATATACAGTGGAATGGCGCTGTAGTTCAATTAATGTTACCCATCAGCTGAGAGTGCAGCAAAAGAATCTTCTCAGGTGTAGCGAAATTGCCTTGACTCATCATTTCTGTTTTAGAGATGCATCTGTTCGGCAAACCATCTTTTGAGTACGGAGCCAGTTCCGTTGAGTCTGCTTGCTGAAAACAGCTCTCCTCACTATCATCGCCCATAGAACAGCCTCAAAAGCACCTTCACCCCCTTTGTCAGCACTCGTTAAAGCCTCCCTACAACGTGCCTTCTACCTACTTGGGTGCTCGCTTTCTCAGAAACCTCCTTAATCTCCATAAACTACTACAGAAGCGTCGCCATATCGGGCTGGTCCTGCCTTTGCTCCGCCACTCCACACAGTGTTTGGCCAGCGTTGCCAGCTGCCTGGCAACATAGCCTCTCTCCCGCAACTCAACCCCAATCACCACCGTCCCCTACCTACTCGAGCACTCGCTTTCTCAGAAACCTCCCTGATTTCCTTCAGCCGTGCCAAAACCATGTCCGGCCGGTCGTGCCGTTGCTCCGCCAGGCAGTGCTTGGCCAGCGTTGCCAGCTGCCTGGCCCCCACCTTGGGGTACCCTTCATGCCGCATAGGGTCAACGTACAGCTGTGTTGGCAGGGCTAGGTCCTGCCCACAATCTCCTTCAGCTGCTGCAGAACTGTCACCATGTCCGGCCGGTCGTGCCGTTGCTCCGCCAGGCAGTGCTTGGCCAGCGTTGCCAGCTGCCTGGCCCCCACCTCGGGGTACTCTCCATGTAACTTAGGGTCCGCGTAGAGCCGTGAGGGCAGGGCTAGGTCCTGGAACTGCTGCCGGCACGCGGTTACCAGCTGGTTACCCTTTTCGAGTACGCGCTGCCCGGTGAGGAGTTCGAGGAGGATCACCCCGAAGGAGTAGACGTCGCTCTTGGCTCCCAGGTGGCCTGGTGAGGGGAGGGCAGGGGGAAGGGAGGGTGGTTACCAATGCAGCTGGTTACCATTTTCTAGGATCAGTTGCCCTATGAGGAGTTCAAGCAGGATCACCCCGAAGGAGTAGACGTCGCTCTTGGCTCCCAGGTGGCCTGGTGACGGTTGAAGGGGAAGCGGGGGGAATCAATGCGGTTACCAGCTGGTTACCCTTTTCGAGCACGCGCTGCCCTGTTCCAAGTTCCAGGAGGATCACGTCGAAGGAGTAGACGTCGCTCTTGGCTCCCAGGTGGATTGGGGGAGGGGAAAAGGGAGGGACAAGGGTATGGCTTAGTGTGGTTACCAGTGCAGTTACCAGCTGGCTACTCTTTTTGAGGACCCTCTGTCCTGATAGGAGTTTTGATCACAGCTGACCCAGTTGACTGCATCTGACTACAGTTGACCCCAGTTGATATGGACACACTACAGGCACATACCACTCTCCAGGTAGGCTTATCAATGTACCCCTCTGTTCCGAGCCGATCCTGGTTGACACGATTGACCGCAGTTAACTACAGTTGACAACATTTAACCGTCATTTACACAAAGGAGGAGACCCTACCAGTCTCTAAATAGCTGGATCGATGTATCCCTCGTTGCCCATGATCTTCCTAGACACGATTGACCGCAGTTGACCACAGTTGACCACAGTTGACCCCAGTTGACCCCAGCTGACCACAGTTAACTGACAACCAGACACACAACATCAACATACCAGTTTCAAGGTAGCTGGGGTCGATGTAACCCTCGGTGCCCATGACTCTCGTAGACACGATTGACCGCAGTTGACCCCCGGGACCCACCCGCACCATGCCGAAGTCCGTCAGCTTTGCTGAGTAGTCCTGCGGAGGGGTGTAGAGTGGCATTGGAGGGGCGTAGATAGGCAGTGGAGGGGTGTAGAGTGGCATTGGAGGGGCGTAGATAGGCAGTGGAGGGGTGTAGAGAGGTAGGGGCATAGGGAGGCAATGGAGGGGTGTAGAGAGGTATTGGAGGGGTGTAAAGAGGCATAGAAGGGGGTAGAGGGGCATTTGTGGGGTGTGGAGGGGCATTTGAAGGGGTATAAAGGGGCATTTGTGGGGTGTGGAGGGGCTTTTGAAGGGGCAGATTGGCATTTGCGTTTTCAGGGAGTAGAGTGGGTAGAGGAGGCATCTAGAAATTCAGGGTTGAGAAAGTCCCAAGAATCAGCACTCACCGGCTTGAGAAGCACGTTGGCAGCTTTGATGTCTCGATGGATGAAGTTACAGCGGTGCATGTATACTAATGCCTCTGCCACCTCCACTGCCACCTTGAGGCGCATGGGCCAGCTGAAATGTAGCTCGCCCTTGGCACCTGAAGGTGAGGGGAAGAGAGGGAAAGGGAGGTGAGAAGGGAGGAGTGGAGAGGGGTAAGTGAAGGTGAAGGGGCATGTAGTTGCAGCGGTGCATATAGGGCAGCACTTCTGCCACCTCCACTGCCACCTCCACTGCCACCTCCACTGCCACCTCCACTGCTACCTCGAGGCACATGGGCCAGCTGAAATGGAGCTCGCCCTTGGCACCCATTGTCAGTTAGGGCATTGTGCAGATTTCCCCTCTCCATGAGCTCGTACTCCAGGAGCGCCGGTTGTAGGTTTCAAAGAGGTTTGAAGGGATTTCAAGGGGTTTGAAGGGCAGGGTATAAAGCTTACTGTCAATGTCTCCCTCCATGAGCTCACAGACCGGGAATGCCCCTTGGCGGGTTTGGAGGTGTTTGAAGTGATTTGAATGGGTCAAAAGGAGTTGGAGTGCGCTTACTGTCGATTATGGCGTAGTCCAGCCGGACTCCCCCTCTCCATGAGCTCACACACCAGGAAAGCCCCTTGGAGGGCTTTAAGGGGTCTGACGGTATTTGAAGGGGATTAAAGGAGTTTTAGTGTGCTTACTGTCAATCAAGGCGTAGTCAAGATTCCCTCCCTCCATGACCTCGTACACCAGGAACGCCCCTTGAAAGGCTTTGCATGCAGGGATTCACGGAAGTCTGAATGTGTGTCAATGTGCTTACTGTCAATGAAGGTGTAGTCCAACCCCCCCCCTCCATGAGCTCGTACACGAGAAACGCCCCTCCGTCCACACAGTACCCCCACAGCAGCACCAGGTGAAGGTGGTTGGGGCGACCCAGGGAAGGAAGGAAGGAAGGAAGGAGGCAAGTACGCAAGCAAGCAAGCAATCAGGCCCAGCAAGAACACCCATCACTCACTGTCAATGAGCGCATAGTCAAGGCTTCCCCCCTCCATGAGCTCATACACGAGAAACGCCCCTCCGTCCACGCAGTACCCCCACAGCAGCACCAGGTGCGCGTGATTCAGTCGCCCCAGCACGAGCACCTCCCTCAGAAACTCCTCTGCTCCCTGCTTCGACTCCTCCCTCAGCTGCTTCACTGCCACCTGCACCATTGCTCCTTGCCCCATAGCACCCTGTCCCACCCCACCTTGCCCCATTGCGCCTTGGTCCATGTCCCCTCTCTCTCCACCTCCCTCTCCTCTCTCTCCTGTCCCTCCTCTCTCTCCTCTCTCCCCACTCCCTCCTCTTGCTCCTCTCTCTCCTCTCTCCCCACTCCCTCCTCTTGCTCCTCTCTCTCCTCTCTCGAGCAACTCCGCCCTGATGCTTCCCCGGTAGACCTTCCCAAACCCGCCTTCCCCGATGAGCTGAGCTGGCGCAAACCCATTGGTGGCTGCTGCCACGTCATCGTACGAAAACCGGAGCAGGGAGTCAGGCACAATTGCCGATAGGACCTCGTCGGGCAGCTCGAGAAACTTTCCCGGAGATGAATTTGACCGCGGGACACCTGCCGGACGTTTTTTCGGAACCTGCCCGTTCCTCTGCCCGTTTCCATTCGCATGGTGTTGTTCCCTAAAGCCCTGCCCGTATTTACATCCCTCTTGCAGCTGCTGCTGGTGCTGGTGCTGCTGGTGGTCGTGTTGCTGCTGGTGGTGATTTCCAGGAGAATCTATAGACCTAACAGGAGACCCTAAAGACCTAGCAGGCGATGCTCTCTCAACATAGGCATTTAAAGACCTATTTGATGAAGATCTACTGTGTGAAGCCCTGTGTGAAGACGACCCTAGCTGTATTCTGGCGGGGGATCTCCTTCTAGACCCAATCCCCCCTCCTCCGCCTCCCCCCAGGTCCGCCGCTCCATCCCCCCCAGTCCCCCCGCGCGTGCTCCCCGTACCCACTCGTCCCCCCTCTCCATCTCCCGCCTCCTCCTCTCCCCCAGCTGATAGACTCCGCGGGTGCGTCCCCCCTGGAGCCCTGGGGGGCTTGCTTCTGGGGGGATTGGCGGAAAGGGGACGCTCTTGCGCGGAAGGGGGGATGCCCTCGGCGTAAGGGGGAAGCTTTTGGGCGGGTCGGGGGTACTGGGGCGGAAGGGGGTGTTGGGAATTGTGTTCCGCGGATGAATGGGGGGGCGGCTTAGGGGGAGGAAGAGAGTTGGGAAGAGGGGGAGGAGGAGAGGGATTGGCGGAAGCGGAAAAGAGAGAGGCAGTGAGAGGGGGAAGAGTGGTAACTGCTTCAGGTTTGCCTGCAATGGGGAAGGACCGGTGGGAAGGGATGGGGGAGGTTGGAATGGCGGCAGTGGGTCAGGTTAGGAAGTAAGGAAATCAGGGGAGAACAGAAGGGAAAATTGGACAAGATAAGTGGGAAGAGAAAATGTGGAAATGGAACGTATTGTGAAACCCTAGCCGGGTGTTAGTTCCGTACGTACTCTCAGGACAGCATGATACTCTCAAGTCAAACGTACGTGAAACGTACGCCAGACGTACGTCAATTCACGTCACGAGAGCACGAGAGCTCCTAGCCTGACGTACGCTGTTTGCCACCGTTGGATGAGGATTTGGTGGATAGACATGCTCCCATGACTCGCCAATAGGAAGGTGACACGTGGCATCAAGGCGTGCTTCTCAATGTGGGGGTTCTAAGAACCAATCCATCGCCAGGATTTGCGCCGTCATTGGCGGGTGTTGAGGGCGTAGCCTTGTTGCGCTTAGAGTTGATGATGGCTTATGCGCTTTGGTAAGATTGAATGACACCTCGGGAATGTTCTCGAAGAGTAACGAGAATTGCTGCTTGAGTCTGCCGGATAAAGGCTTTCGGTTGGAGAAGCTACGAAGGCTGGCTGGTGTAACGCAACCCTTGGAATTGTCGGTAAGAGCTTCGATGTCTCACGTCCTGTACTTCACGAAAACTGTGTGTACTCATCTGCAGCTCAGCTTGACGAATGTTCAGTTCGAAATTGCCAGAATTGAAGAAACTACGATCTTGGAAAAGTGGAAAATTATGGCTGGAAGCGCGTCTGGACTGGAAGTATTTGAATAGCTGGCTTGTACGTAATTAGATAGTGCAACATGACAGGAAAAACGCGAGTCGGTATTCTTGAGGGTCATTCAAGTCATCCTTTGAATGTCAGAGAAGAGTAAGAGTTACGGGGAAAGATCATTCCCGCTGTCACTTATCACCAATTACAATGAGCACAAGCCTGTTTATATCGGATCTTGACATGTACAGTTGAGATGATGACAACTCGTATGTGAGAGTGTACACCCTCATTCTCGATAGACTGGCATATGTTATACTGACAGAGACGCTTAGTGTAGCCGCACCGGACCAAAGAAGGTCCTATCACATGCGTTACAGTGACAATTTGACCCAGGGCGTTTAGTCAGGGTTTTCTACGTTCTACAATGGTACTGTTTCAAAGTGGTCAGGACGGTTATTCAACGTTAATGGTTTTACCGTCCAAGGCGTGTTTCAAACCCTCGTGCGACTTTGCCCGCAACCGACTTATCTCACCAGCCCGCTACGTCCAAACACTGTAGCCAGTGCTTCCGCCGGTGAGAGAGGTGAGAAACAGGGTGTACTCGTCTACTATGGAAGAAGTGCCTTGACAAGCTGTTGCCCCTCGATCCCTTTCTATCACACCTCAGAGAGTCGAATGCTGCTGACCGTGCCCTGTCGTTTCATGCATTCAAATGACAAAATATACCGCCCGTTTTTGTTGTCAACCTCGTTGTTTTGATTAATACTGACACAAGCTGCGTAGCCTTGGCCACATTGTTTCTCAGGTAGGCGTGGATTGCACTGAAACGCGATGAAGAACAAGACAGCAAAGGAAGCTAGCAAAACCACCTGACACAGTGGTTACGAAGGACTGTTTCTTGGCTTCATCGCGTCGTCCAGTGATAAACCTTGGTGTTTTGTTGCTGAACAGTTACGGAACGGAATCGGATCATGGTTTGGAGGGTGGTTTGGCTTTCTGGTGGTGGCACTTGGTCATATGGCCTGCACGGTTCAAAACCATGAAAAAAATGCTGACTACACTACACAAAGCCCCTGTCACATGTAATCAGAAACTGGTCAGTAAACGTGATGGGTAGCTGCCCAATAGACCCAAGCACCCGATACTCCAACGCTAGTCCTCTGCTGTCTTCCCAACCCCAATCGTTTTCATCCATCCACATGTCCAGCTGCCTGGCGCCTATTCTGAAACTAACCTGCGGTGCCTCTGAGGAGCCGCCGAACCGAACAGTGACAGCCAGCTTTCTTGACTGTGCTCTCCGCTCTCTTGACGGCCTCACTGGGGCGCTGTGCCATGCCATGACTAGTGCTGCACAGTACATTGTCCTGGTGGTGGTTACCCTTGGTTCTGATCTGAGGATTTGGTGATTTCCCCTCTGCCTTTTCCTCTTCTCCTCTCCACTTCCACTCTGTACTTCGCCCAACCAGTCCTTGAATCTACTCTCTGCTTTTCTCCTCTTAGGTTGCTAGATAAGAGAGGTAACAGTTGGTCTTAGGCGTCAAATAGTCCTGTCGACGCCGCCCGAAGCGCCGAGCGTTTAGCGTAATCTCCCTGAAACCATGGAACCGCGTCGCGCTCTCCCATTTATAATAGCACTTGTCATCCCGTGCCTGGTCGCCGCAACTGCCGTCGATATCTCCAAAAAGCCCTACCCTGGCCAGGAAGGCTCGGCCTTCGGGGCTTGCCCTAGCTTCGGCTGCAAGCCCGGAGCGTATGAGAAGGGAATGTTCACCGATAGCGACTCGGAGGACATCGAGTACATGTTTAAATATTCCATGCCGTTTGTCTTCAACGACACGGATTCGCCGGCGTGGGATCCGTTATTGACAGACCCGTTTTACGACTGCTGGAAGGTGTGCAGCGATTTCAACAAGGAGAACCCCAGCGACCCCGTGACTTACTGGCAGTACGAGGAGACGTGCGACATTGGAGGTGCGTTGCGCGGCTGCAGGGCTAGTCGAAACTACGCTCACTGTGTTAAATTTCATTGCGTTTTCCGTAAAGTAATGTAAGGATAGGACCAGCAGGTGTAATGGTACAAATGTTTAAAAAACATGTTACAGGTACAGCAGCGGGGCGTTGCATCTGGCAAGGCTCTTTCGCGTCGTTATTGGATATTAAAAAGTGCAGGGTCCTATTCATAGTTTCTCTCATCCGCGCATCTTAAACAAGGCACCTAATTTATTTCCCCCCTCCCTTCCCCTTCCTTTCATTTTTTGCAGGTGTATGCGCGTGCTTCGATGAGGGCGTGTGCACACTCGAACACTTCAACCCCGACAACACGATGGACAGCTTTACCGACACAACCGGTGATTACCAGCCGGAGTCACGATTCTACGTGGGCAAGATTTGCGACAGCAATGTTACCGGCGATCCTCATTTCGTTGGCGCGGACAAGTCTCGGTTCGACTTCAGCGGCATCCCTAACGAAAACTTCGCGCTGATTACGGATTCGCACGTCCAAGTGAACGCCTTCTTCGGAGGGCGCTGGGCTCGTTGGATGGACAGTGAGCGAAAGGCGCTGACGTGGATGCGAAAGATTGCGATCCTTTGGGGCCACCACTCCATCATCTTCGAGGCTCGCGAAGGCCCCGACCCGAAATATCGCAAGGGTTACCTCGCTTCGTTGACCGTCGACGGCGTGGCGAAGAAGCTCAAATTCCCTGGCGAGAAGATGTACCTGTTCGATGGGCAAGGCGAGGTGAAGTGGGTTGCTGGTGCGAAGCCTTCCGGTGGCGATCTGGTTGACGAATACGAAGTTACCGTCGCGGACGTCCTCTCGTTACGACTGACCCTTCGCCCGGAGATCGAAATGATGCGAACGATTGAAGACGGACTGGTTCACTTCACGGTGGAGGTTCTGAGCGCCAGGCTGTCGGCTAACGTCCATGGCGTGCTTGGCCAAACTTACCGCCCCGACTTTGCCGGCCGATTGTAAGTCCCTGCTTCTTCTAACAGCCCTTCCTTCCAACCTCGTCGTTTCTTTGTCTCGTTGTACTCTCTTTCCGCATTTCTCGTCGCCCCAGTTCTCCTCATTCAGTGTCCGCTTACTTCACTAGTTTCTCTAGACCCGTTTTTTGTTCCGGTGTTTTATTCAGTAAGGTTTTGCGTCCTGAACTCATTCTCCGTATCCTCTTTCTCTTTTCTGTCATCCCTTAACTCCACAGGGAGAAGCAGGCCTTGGTGTACAGCAAGCTCTTTAACGCGTACGTCGTGCCTGGGGATAACGCCGACGGTTTCATTGACGGTACTGTAGACGACTACCAAGTCTCGTCTCTGCTCCACACCGACTGCAGCCTCTGCCGGTTCATCCGCGCGCGCTCATTGGACGACGAGACCGCTCGGGCAGTTGAACTCAGCACCACTGTAGCCTCTTCGTTTACTGCTTTAGGCAGACGAGCTGCCAATTAGCTTGTTCATTGTATTTTGTGCTCCGCAAAGAGCTCAACTAGTTATCTTCTCAGTTGTTGATAGTAGGCATGTGGGCTTAGTCTTCGCGAAAGATGTGATCCATAATATGTACAATTTTGAAAGTGTGAAACACTCTTCATAAATTTTTTTGTGAAAGTGTAGCCATTGCTAATGCTGCAATGGCAGCGTTGCATTGCTGCTCACCCTCTTTTGGCTATTTGGCCATTTGGCCTCACCCACGTTCTTCTTGTTGAGAATATGATTGTATGCTTTTACTATAAGTGCACTGTTCGAAGTGTGCTTACAGGGGCTCGCCATAGCGAGGGATTTGAACCTGGTGGCGAGTCAACGGGCCGCAACCGAACACAGCGGTTGCGACCCGCGTGGCAGCTCAAGAGTCGAATCGACAGCAGGAGTCATCGTCTAAAGTACGCGAAACTCACCTGTGGTGCGCGGCAGGATTGTTGGAATTAAGGTTAATTCGGGTTGCTCCAATAAACATATGTAGTGGTACATCTACACTATGGTAGTGTAGAATACATTGGTTGGGTTGGGAGAACTTGTGGTGTACACTCTTTAGAGTGGACCACCTCCCAAACCCTATAGGTTAGGGTTCTCTCTTGTTGGCATTTCACTTTTGGAAACCACTTTGGTTCTAGCATGGTTCATGCCCAAGTGGGCTCCTAGGATTCCTAGGCTTTAGGAGGAGGTTCTAAGACTACTAAAGCTTCCGCTAGTATCTTAGTCCATTCTAATAAGGATAACGCGCCCTTGCCGAAGCTGAAAAGTCTCGCCAGCGCGACTGTAACAAGGCAACCCAAGCGACGCAGCGCAACTGTTATACAGTTGCGTCTTGGTAACCGTTTGCCCTATGTGTTTGCTATATAACAGAATGTAATGTCTTGCTCATATTACACAATTCTCAAGCTTGTGTCCGGCCTACCCTCGGCCGCTGCTTTGGCACCACGTTACAAGCCAGGAGAGCTACCTCTGAGTGACCAATAACCCCGCCGTAGGGACGTCATTAATTCCTAGAGCTTCCGCTGCGCTCTAGCGACTTCATATTTCCAACCAGGCCCCTAGATTCGTTTTGAGGCACGCTGATGGCACAGCGTACATCCCTCCTACTACTCTGTCTGTCAGTGTTGCTTCAAAATTTTAGGCTGGAGATTCAGAGACACACAACTTTCAAAGGCTGAACAAACAGCGTTATCTTAAATTTCT